AACCAAGAAAGTGTCAGCATTTTACTACACGTACCCCCTGCATAGCAGGGTACGTGTAAAAAACAAAACTAAACTCGCTGCATTTTCTGACTCGTGACCCGGCCAAGGGCCTGGTCACGAGTAAAAACAAAACTAAACTCGCTGCATTTTCTGACTCGTGACCCGGCCAAGGGCCTGGTCACGAGTAATAATCTCATGAAAGCCACGTTAAGGCCAATCACTTAACCTGGTAAACATCATACCTCCTTAAATTGTCATCTTGTTTAAACAATATTTTGATTCTTGTCATATTTACTTAGATCCAGGATTTGAATTCACAAAGTACTTTCAACATTCCAGACATATTTTAGATGCTCACGATGCGATCGTGAATGCCCTACTGTAAAATAAACAACTTAGACTTTGTTGTCTCAAAATTGTTGCCATAAATGATAAAAAAACAATTTCAACCAAAAAATTTGATTCTTGCCTTGGTAACGCTGAAAGTTAGAGGCAATGGTAGGGAGAAACAACAACTACAGTGATCCACCTTAAAGCAGTTTTTTGTATTTACACGTGTATATAGTCTTTTGATAAAATGCTGTCACTGGTGTCATGTAGCCCTACGAAATAGAAACATTATCAGCATGGTCATCTAGGAAACAATGGAAACGGAAAAGACCATTTCTGATATCAGATATCTTTTTTATCCTGCGATTGACTTTACCCAGTTTTTGGTAAAAATGTATGGAAAAAATGTAACGATTTATCATCCAGCATGACGTTCAACACAGCGGTGACCCGGGGTATTGGTGTGGCAGTGGTGACATTTCACTCCTAAGAGGGGCCAATCAATAACCTGTCATTTTGTTCGATTATACTGTTAACGCATCAAGCGCAGTGTCTGCTTGTAGGAGGTTATGATCTCAGTAAAAGGGAACATATAGTCTGCGTAGCGGCGCCAGGGGAGCCCTCCCCTTCCGTTTCCCCCCTTCAACCCTCCCCCCCAAGCATTGAACAAAGCACCCCCCCCTCCAAGCATTGAACAAAGCACCCCCCCCTCCAAGCATTGAACAAAGCATTGAACCGAGGCGTCAAGGTACAGTGAACATAAAAGAAAAGATCTGTGATCAGTGTTTGACGCCTCGGTTCAATGCTTTGTCACTGAACCTGAGTATGGAAAGTCGTGAATGGCCAAAAAAGACTTTGATGGTACTTGTTATGTCTTATAAATCATCAAGATGTTTTTCAGCTTCTACACCTTCAATTTGTGTGATAGTTTGAAAAAATCAATAGTTGAAAAAAATTCCTATCTTGGTCAATTTCAATCCCACGTTAAAAATGATCAGTGTTGTTGATAAACCTTCTTGAACTGAAAAGTAATATCAATATCATATCAATTGCCAGTTAAAGCTGTTGTTGTCATTTTCTACAATTATGATTGTTATTTACGTTGAATTTAAGATAAAGAATATAACGAAAATTTTAAATATAGCTTAAGCCCCCCTCTCCTCTGTTAATTAGGTAATTTTACTTTGAGCCCCCCTATCTTGGCATCAATTTTATGCAATCCCCCCCCCCCTCTGGTTTTAACGGCCCCCTCCTGGTAATTATTGCACAGTCCCTAAGTAAAAGTTGTGCATATGAGATTAACTCGACAACGACTGTACATGACTGGAAGTTTGAAACTACGATCTACTGAGTACTCATCTTGCTTGTTGTAGCGTCATTCTCCTCCATTAGTACATTTCCGGTCAACGCTCTAAAACGTCTATCACCAGTCTTATCCATTGTTTCTCGGGCTAAACCCTTTGTTGCTTATTTTTTCGAACGTTTTAGTAATATAGTAATCCTGATTTTAACCTTTTCACTGATTTTTCTTGGTAGGAAATGAAGGGATTGGATTACAAAAACATGTCTTACAACAGTGTACACACCTAATTTCGATATTTCCTCCAAGGAATACTTCGGCACTTCAAGGTCCCGATTCCTTCAACGTTTCCGTAGCAACAGGTACAGTTGATTGGTATTTTCATTGGGGGGTTGGCAGGGATGTTATAATCTATCTAAGGATCATAAAGCATACCATGCTTGTGCACCTTTTATGACATTAAATTATGGCCTTCAACTTGGAGTAGAGTGTATGAAGCTCTGCTTAACCCTGTTATTTTCTCAAAGCGAACCTTGAATAAACATATGCACTGACATAACTAGAACTACATTATCAGAAGTGTCCATAATTTAGACAAACAAATCAAACGCACGCACATATACATATAACATGGAACCTGATTGGTCCTTGTTTATCCTAATTCCACTTTTTCAGATCGTTTTATTAACACTTGTTTTCAGGTAGTTCACGCTGAGGTCAGCGATACTATCGAGACTAAATTAGTAAAATATAGATGACTTGCAACAGGTTCAACTAAAACTCTAACTTTAAACCTGCTACAATGTAGGTTAATGCCAATTTTCTAATATTGCAATCAATTACTAATTTGTTTTCTCAACAACCCATATTGTTATTGAACTACCATCGGCTACGTTGCTTATATAGAAATTGTTAATCCGCAAAAGATATTAAATTCTCGTAATGAGAAATTCACTTTGGTCGCCTCCATGTTGGTTTTCTTGTGGCCTGAAATAGGATCAACAACGACTAAATTCGGTAACATGTTATATGTGCGCGTGTTATTATTTGTTGTCTAAAAATAGATTATTGTGACATCTGATGGTGACTAGATTATTAAGCGAGGTGGACACTTCTGGTTATGTACTTCTGGTATATTAAACTGAAAAAGCTATTATTAGGTATGTCGTTTTATTATGACTAGCCCGCTCAGTCCGGACCACTCCAATAGTCATAGTGTATACCATAATAATTACCGTATTAGTATTGATTTTCTCTTTGCTTTAGGTATACTCCTTTTTTCAATCATGAACAATCGTCATACTACAAGTCAAAGGTTGTCGTCATAACTGGACTGGGTGGAACCAGGCGAACTACCATACAAATCATTTTGCACTTGGTGGAACGAGGCGAACTAACATACAAATCACTCCATGCACTTGGTTACGTGTTTGGTTTAGACTTGTACAGACTCGCTCCTCTCGCTTTTTAGGCTGCACGCAATTGATCAAGGGAAAGGCGAAGGAAAGTTAGTAACGAATGGGTACGAGTCTGTGTTTGGTTACTGCCCTGTAAAAAGCATCGAATCTCATACATGCAATCATATTGATCTTCTTCAGCTTTTGAATAAAAGAGTTACTTTATACCTTGATTGCATTGTCAACGCTATCATCTTAGGAGGGTTTCCTGCACATGAATTTATCATAATTCACAGTTTGCATTTTATAGTAATTTTTCTGTCTAACAATACTGATTCATTAACTATTTTTGAACCTCAATGCCAATTGAGCGCATGTTAGTGTAAAGAAGAAGACATTCATATTCAATGATGCTGGTTAAGTATATGGAAAAATTAACGGTTAATATATCACTCCAATATAGATAGTCTTGTCGAAATTCCATGCGAACAGTTGTGAGCACAAACAGCCGGTACAGGCAGGTAAATATATGTTGCAAAGCATGCGACTGAGCAGCTATATTTCAAGAAACTTATAAATAGGTCACATCACACGCGTTCAACTCTTGAATGTTTCGTAGCCCGATAGAACGCTCTAAGAGCGCGTCGGGTTACTTGATCACTGTCACTCTTGTAACGCATGAGTCAAAAAGTTATTTCTGAAATAAAGCTAAAACAAACTGCACTGCTCGCAAACTAGAGCTGTTCTCAAACCACTTTCCAGACCCCATGTAAACAGTCTTTTTTTATTGAAATAATAATCATTATTTTTTGTAAACTTAGTGCGGCATGTCTTTGGTCTTTTTGTTCCATAGTTTAAAACTGCTTGAGCGCTAAATACGCGCGGTCCATAACATTGCAATCTGTTCAAAATCCACTTTCAAATTATTTTTCGTCAACTTCCATTACTGCAAGTAATGATTGGTAAATGCCAATGCCAATGTCTGTTCCGATATCAACTGTAAAAACTAAATAATGATTATATACGGCTTTAGAGCGAAGAGTTGTTTTTGTTGCTTTCTGATCATGACGGTCATGATTCAAACCTTCCTCCGTCGTGTTCTCCCAAAACTCCAAATAATCCCGCGTGTTTGTAATCGAGAATGGAAACATGGAAATTATCTTCTCGGTGTACTTGAGTTTGTTTGTACGTCCCCTGGGACTTTAGAGCTCAACCCGCCATCAACCTCCATGGCAGCTGTAGACGGACTGTGCCTTTAATTTTTTATAGTTGTCACGAATAATGACATACAGGTTCACCAGGAGTTTCACTAAGATAGGTTAAAACGCAAAATACCTAAGTTGATTCAATACTAATGAAGTAACTATGAACAAAAGATTGGCCTATAGAAAACAAGGAAAGCCCACGGGACCATAACAAGAACGCCCAAGTCCGTTTAATACTAAAACAAAGGCTAATGTAAACAATAAGGTTTTTTTGCATCACTCAATCTTAAGATAGAAGGGTTTGTGGAATTTTACAAAATAACCAAAACTAAAATGTCAAAACTACTCTATCAGGGCTCATAACGGTGGCACTCACTTTTGATATTTGATACATTGTAAATTGTGTTTCGACGAGATAAGACCCAGATATAATAAGTAGTCGTCCTGCAGTAGATTTTTGTAAAAAGCGGCTATCGTGTTCCCGAAACTTCGGATAGATGCAATTGGGAGAGGAATAGTCATTACAAATGCGAGATATTTTTCGTTATTGCAGGAAACGTGTGACTGGAAAGCGAGGTATGGGAAATGTCACAAATTTGTCAAAAGCGAAGTCGGCGCACGGGAGATCAAAAAGATATAAGTGTGACGAACTCCATTCACATTCGTGCAGTTTCACTTCCGGTTATGTCACGTTGTTGACATTTAGATGATTGACGTGCATTTATCCAATCAGATTATGTAATTTCTATCACATGTTTTGTTTGGTCCGCATGGTTAGCCTTGCTCGCTATACCGTCGAATCAAGCGCGCTGAAGATCGTACGGAGTAGAGGGTTCCGATGAKAAGGTAAGAATATTTAGTATTTTTCGCCTTAAATGTATATTAAGGTACCAGAATTATGTGTCTGCAGTTTTGGAAAGACAGGAAAACTTTTTTTTTCATGAATTGGATTGTGTAAGATCGTAATGTGAGAGTAAATTTCACGCAAACATGAGTTGTTGTCAGAGTGTTGTGACTAGTTTTTCAGTTTCTATATTTGGCTTCTAGCAAAAGAATTTGTGTAGTTTCTGATACAGACTACGCTGAAGTCGTTTATTTTTCCAAGGAGCGTTATGGTTCATTCATGAAACGAAGAGAAGCCTTCCTGAGGCCACGATGCATGTTTTTCGCACCTTTGACGTTTGACAAAGAAACTTCCCAAAAATGATATTATAACGGTCAAATTCAAGCTCCAGGCTCGTCTTTTCTCAAAATTTAAAACGAAATACTTAAAATTTTAAACTTTTAAGAGGTTCTACCCCGTTTATAGCTGGTATCCAGGCTGCATGCCACTTTTAGTCAAAATGGCGGCCGCTGGTGTCTCTTTAGAACCATTGTCAATTCATTGTTATTGGTGCATGCATTAACTTATTGTCTTACAAAAATAACTTAAACTGCAAGAGTAAGGTGTAGTGGATATTTCCAGTCGATTTTCATTGCTGATTTTTTATTTTTAGTCGTTTTTAGGGGAATAATATGACCGGTAGAGCACGAGGACGAAGTCGTGGACGAGGGCGCACAGAGGCTCAAGCTGGAGGGGATGCAGCGAGAAGGCCTGGAGAACCTGCAGTTAGGCCTCCAGAACCAGCGCAAGTTGGTCGAGGGAGATCTAGAGGGCCACCTTCTGATGCAGCCCCAGCAAGACCTCAACCTACGGCGGCAGCCGAGCCACCAACAGCGGCCATGTCAGGCTTGAGTGTAGCAGAAAGAGGAGGCGCACGTGGCCCACCCGAGCAGAAGCGAGGAGGACGGTTCTCTGAGCCAGTAACAAGACCACCGGGCCTGAACAAGCAAGGGAGCTCTGGTAGAGAAGTCTCTTTAGTTTCCAATTGCTTTTTACTGGAAACTCGTCCTAATTTCATGATTTACCAGTACAATGTGAGCTTCAGCCCTGAAGTCGACTCCAAGAAAGTCAAGTTTGGTCTGGTAATGTCTCAAGAATCCTTGATTGGCAGAGTGAGGGCATTTGATGGCATGACAATGTTCCTCCCGATCAAACTTCAGGACCCTGTAACAAAGATCAATACAACTAGGAGGAGGCGCGACAACCCTGATGGAGAGCCGGTTGAGATTACTATTACCTTGACCAACGAACTCCCTCAAGACAGCCCTACTGTCATGCAGCTTTTTAACATCATCCTGAGAAGGTAACTGTCCAGTAACTAAAACTGTTTTGTAGCTTTGTATATGTTGTGAGTCTGACGATAGTTTCAGTGTTTATACTTAATACATTGTTTAAAAACAATATGTATTACCACATGCTGTTGAACAAAAAGAAAATCTTAGTCTTTACAAAGTCTTTTGTGTTTTTTAATAGAATACTTGTTGGACTATCAAAATTACACCACAAAACAAATCAGTCCATCATCTCCTAGAGATACTGCTGCTCTTTTTGGCGAGCATTTAGAAGCCGTAGTAAATACGTTTTCAATTACAGTTTTGGCATTAAATGACTACTGTAGACAAAATGCTCCAAAGGAAAGTTCCCTTGTGAGAATGATTGAGAATTTTGTTTTGACTACTTAAGAAAGGTTATCAAAACAATGTATAAACAACACCTGCCAAGGCTTCCCATGTGATAATTAGAGAGTATTTAGATATTGAAATTTTCATGGTTTAGAACATGAAATTCATGGGAATTGTAGAAATTGTGTGATAATTTAAAATTTCTTTTCTAGAAAAATAAAAAAAAAGGAATTTTGCATGATTTGAATTACTTTTGGAGTAAAACTCTCAATTCTTATATATAATTAGCTCTACACTATAATGTGTGTATTGAGCACTCTTTAATGGGATCAGCTACTTCCTCATATGATTATATACAATATTATGATTTTTTTTATTCTCTTTGCATAAATCTTTGCATTTACTTAGTTTTTCAGGGCAGTCTATTGCATTGAACATTAAAAACAACACTTATTGGTGCTATTTGATTTTAGGATACTCAAGATGATTGACATGAACCAAGTAGGTCGTCAATATTATTATACAAGACATGCAATTGCAGTCAACCAATACAAGTGAGTTTTACATAATATATATAGAGGGGGGTGATTTACCTCACTGAATGATGCGAGTCTAAGCATTTCTCTTGCAGTAAAAACCTTGCATTTCAGTACACATCATCATGAAATGTTGAAGAGAAGTATAGGAGAAGCTCATAATTATTCTATATCAATGCTCCATCAAATTAAATCTGGGTATATTTGCTTCTTCATGAGTAAATCTTTAAGCCTCTAATTGCAGTCAAACTTACATTCAAATGTTGAATCAACAGCCTTGAGATTTGGCCAGGATATTCTACATCAATTCTCAAGCATGAGTGTGGTGTGCTATTGGGTGCTGACGTATCACACAAGGTGTTGAGAAAGGAGACTGTTCTTGCTTTTCTGTATGATCTGTACAAGTCTAACCAGAGAAACTTCCATGAAATAGCAGCTAAGAAGTTGGTTGGCGAAATTGTACTTACCAGGTAAACATACCATAGTTATTGAGGATTGTTAAAGGTTGTCAACCAGATCTCCTCAAAGTAGCACCTGTTAACATATTAAACTTCTAAAAGGTACAATAACAAGACTTACAGGATTGATGATATTTCTTGGGATGAGAGGCCACACCATACTTTCAGTACTGGTCGTGGGGAAATATCATATGTTGATTATTATGCCAAGGTAAATATTCATCTCATGATTCAATTCAATAGTTCTTCTTTTCTGTTAATTTATATGCAAAATGCAATCATTTTAGGCAGGAGTGTTAATGATTTTATTTTATTTCTAGCACTATGAGAAACAGATCACAGATATGGAACAACCTCTTTTGATTCACAGACCAAAGAAAATTGTAAGTTCCATTCACGAGTGATCTAGGTCTTGTGCCATATCAGTGTATAGTGATTATATTTGAAAGCCGTTTTATGGTAGTACATATTTAAAAAGTGTATTTTCACAACTTTCTCTTTTAAACCTTCATCTATTGCTCTATTCTTGTTAGCCTGGGAAAAAGTACATTGAGCAAATCAAGTTGTTGCCAGAGCTGTGTTTCATTACTGGTAAGAATTAACCTTAAGCACAATAGGATTTGTATTGAAAGACTAAGAAGTCAATTGTTTAATAAGAGTAGAGTAACTCGGTGTATTCTATTATGCATTCAGGTCTATCTGATGACATGAGAAATGACTTCAATCTAATGAAGGACTTAGCCAAACATACAAGAATTGCACCAAAAGAACGATGTGAACAGCTGATGAAATTCATTGGTGAAATAAATGGGTAACTTAAAATAAAAGTGCTTAGACATAAAAAAATACTATCATTCATGAAATGCCATTATAGTTTCCCTGTGCAAGTTCATTTCATTAGTGCTCTAGGTCTAGTGCTGTGTCAGTTTATAGCAACAATATTCAAAAGCAGTGTTGTGACAGTTGTTGTTGATACTCAATACCATTATAGTTTTCCTGTGTATTAGTTTTGAATTTGCTATCTTTATGTGGTTGTAGACATGCAGAAGCAAGCTCTGAGATGACAGGCTGGGGTTTGCAGGTTAGTATGTCCATTATGTATCCAACCTTTCAAGTAATTTAGACTATGAAAATTGTTTACAACATGCTGGTAAAAAGAACACACTGCAACTATATACATAATATAGTGTTTTGTCAACAGAATGTATATTAAATAGAGTTATTGTGTACTTAAAACAAACTATATTTTTTAGTTTGCTAGAAATCTTCTGTCATTCAAAGGAAGAATGTTGCCTGCAGAGGCAATCTACCAAAAGTCGAAAAAGGTAAAATTAGTTCTTAAAGTGCTTGTAACGCATATCAAGCTGCCAATGGCAACATTGAAAATTGAAAGTTGAAAATTCAGTTGCAGCTGGCCAGTTCATCGCAGCTATGTCGCTTGCGCTTTCAATGGGATTTTCTGATTTCTCTTCCTCCTCATCAAAATTTTGTAAATCAATTATACCGGGTATATAATTATACTCAGAGTCAGCTGAGTCGTAGCTGATTTCCAAATCGGATGAAGAGAAAGCCATGAAATAGGTCGACCATATGTTTACAAGACAAATGCCGTTACTGACTTAACTTCTGGCATTAGACTACCTCTCTTGTCGCCATTTTCGGATATCGCCCCAGGCCTAAAATACATGTCCGGCCTGGCTAAAAAATATTCTTTATAAATCTATAAAATATTCAGGTTTTGAAGAAATCGAATTCTGACATCAGGAATGCATTCAAGACATCTTTAAGATTAGCCACAATTTTTGTCATTTTAGGGGTTATAAGCACTTTAATTAAACCCACCTGCACCTGCAAAAAGTCACTGTAATGGTCCAAGACTCTTTGAACATTGAAGTCTAACATGCAACTAAGATGTATATATTCACATATTCATGGTTCAATGATTACCTGGCAGCACAACCACTTTGCACAGACTAGTTTGTTCTGTTTTGTACAATTTTTTAATGAGGAAATTCGAAGCTTTTTACACTTTTACAGAATGAATTGTTATGAATGAATGTTATAAAAAAAGAACCTTATGCAGTGTGATGAACTACTTTAATATGGGCAACGTTTGTCTTTTGCTATTGTAGTAGTTGATATATATTATATATATATTGTACTATAAAGACATCTAAAAATAAATGATGTATTATAACCATCTTTTCTTATGCAGTCCTCATATGATCCTAAAACTGCTGATTGGAGTAGGGAAACCAGAGGCAGTGCTCTACATAGCACAGTTAACATCACCAACTGGCTTGTGATTCTGACCAATAGGGACAGGGGTGCAATTGGCAATGACTTTGTTTCGACAATGAAGCGGGTCCTTGAACCTATGGGCATTTCTACTGGTGCACCACGTGTGTGAGTATAATAAATATTTTTTGTTGTCAGGTAACTAATGAAATTCAAGGCTTGGAACGCAATGAGAGTGTTCTTGTTTGCATTGTCCTTGAAATAATCATGATGTTAGCATCAATGTCTTTAGACAAATATTTGTGGATCCAATCAACTCTTTTATCAGAACTAAAACTGAGCCATTGCAAGGAAACTAACATGTAAAAACTATGTTTCCAGGGTTGCCATTGATAATGACCGCACTGAGTCATATCTTAATGCAATCAGAAGTGAGGTTGGCAGGGACATGCCTCAGATAGTAGTTGCCATTGTGCCAACCAACAGGAAGGATAGATATGATGCTATCAAGAAAGTGTGCTGTCTTGAGATGCCAGGTAAAGAAATAAACAGTTTTGTCTTTTTCATCTCTTCCCCACCAGTTATTTTGTTCTTTCCTGATCTCTAGTTTTAGTAAAGGAAAGCCAATGCAATAACTATAACTAAAAAGAGAGCTGTGTGTTCAAGAGGCTATAACCAGTTACTAGTGTTTGAAAAGTGAAGGCAGTGTGATAAATTCCCTCAATGGATACATTACTAAATATTGTATACTTAAATTTCAGTTCCCTCTCAAGTAATTGTGTCAAGGACACTATCCAAGAAGCAGATGTTGATGAGTGTCTGTACCAAGATTGGTATACAGTTGAATTGTAAGCTGGGAGGTGAAGCATGGGCCCTTGAAATCCCAGTAAGTTACAATGTTTAATTGTGAATAACCTCCTTCCAAGCACTATACCGTATTTACCCATGTATAAGCCGCTCTCGTAGATAAGCCGCACCCCRAGTTTTAGGAACGTTTTTGAGGGAAAAAAAGATGGAAAATAAACTTTTCTCTTTTTGATCGCCACTTGCGAACAGAGCTTTCTTTGATTTTGAAGTAATGTTTAAAGTCTGACAATGAGGACTTGACAGGGTTTCAAGTCCGCGCAATTAGTTCCAGTCCGAGGCGTTAGCCGAGGACTGGAACTAATTGCAAGGACTTGAAATYCCGTCCAGTYCRAATTGGAGGACTTTRAACGACTTCTCATACTCATTAATTATTCGGGAGGGGAAAAAAGCGAAGGAAATACATGGACATATAACAGAAATATATTAATTTATTGCATTTCCACCAAGGTTTTCAGTTTTTCATAATTTTGAATAAAGAAGCACCGTTTGTTGTTTTCCAATTCCCGAACGGCTTTCTGAAACAAAAGCTTTTCAAATTGTCTTTATTTGCTTTTCATGGCATTCCTAATGAGTCTAATTCATAAGTTTTATAAGTATGTTATCTTCCAAGGAATCGCATCAGAAACTCTGTGGTGTAATGGCATAAGACGGCGCATATAGATTGGACGGTTCGGGATCGTTTCGTGAGGGAGTCATTTATCAAAGACCTTTTTTCACTAAATTAATTCTATATTAAGTTGATTATTTCTAATACTTTGATTATCATTAGCTAGTAGTAGTTAGAAAAAGCTAGACGTAACTAGAATCAAGGTAAGAG